TTCTAGCAACATTTTTTCCTACACATAAAATATGGAAAAAGTACAAACATATTAAAGTTTAGTATGTAGTATGTTTTTTTTTTAAACTACGTAGTACCAGTATATGTTAATAATTGCTAACTTTATTATAAAAAATAGTTTTAATTTTATTTGTTTGAACTTTCACTCCTTTTGGCCTTGGTTGCCTCTTCCCCTGAAACAAAAAGCCAAGAACACTTGGATGGAGTTTCATTGGATTCTATGACTCTGAGTATCCCAAGCTTGGGACACGACTGGAGTCATTGAAGCTCTTGGACACTTGAACTCATCAACACAAGATAATAGGCCATAGATGGTCATAGGGGAATTCATTGAAAGTGAAAAAGCAGAGCAATACCTAGATCCCAATAAGTGCTGAAAGGGGTTAGAAATATAGTGTGGAGTGGTGGACTCCAATTTTTTATTTTGAAGGTTATGAGTGAACCCAGGAGAGGGTAAGGGTAACCAAATCTTGGTTGGGAAAAAACTTGATTTAATTCAAGGTAAGGATGAGTAGACAAGTATATGTGGAGCAGGCCATGCATACAACCAAGTGATCATTTGATACATATCTAATATCTATTTATTCTATGTTGTTGGGGGTAGTTATGTGAATTAAAATATGATGATTACTAGTATATTTTTTGGGAGTCTCTAATGAGATGGTGGCAGGTTAAAGAACTTACATGTAAGAGGCCCTTCCTCAAGATATTTGGATCGAGACTCCCCCACCTCGTCACGCATTACAGTTTGATTTTGACTTGACCCGTACATGAGGGTGATGTTTGGTGTGGGTATAAATATACTATCGTATCATATAGTTCCATCCCAACCAATATATATACACAGTAGATACTAAATATTTTGGGTACTTTTTATAATGATATATTTATCAATGAATAAGATGAATAGTTAATTTCTCAGTGATCAATTCTACATAAAGACTTCACTTATTCATCTGTTAATACAAGTTCTTCATTTTTAACCTTATTGCTCTAAAAGGAGAAAATGCAGCTACAAGCAGCAAAATAAAGAGTGCTCCTACACGCTTCAAACCAGCAACCACAAGCAGCCTAAATTTGAAGTGTTTATCAATACCCCTCCACCCCAGCTTTGGCTCAATTTCCTGGCCATCATGCCCCCTTTCAGACTCCTCATACTCTTCTCGCCCATCATGTTGTTCACACTCGTACTCATGCTCATGTCGCTCAGGCTCGTCGTTTTGTTCAAACTCCTGACATCTCTCACCCTCATCCGGATCTATATTCATATCTGTGGTTTCATGTTGTTCATCATCACAACTTCCGATACAATTTTCTATAGCTCTAATAGCTGTATGCACATCATGTCGACAAATAGGACAAGTATATTCGTTGATCAACCATGGAGTAATACATCTACGGTGATAAATATGATTACAAGGTAATTCACTTGCTTTCCCCCCAACCTCAAAGTCTTCTAAACAAACACTACATCTCCGTTCGCTTCCCAAATGTGATTCCGAAATATTCACTGTATGTATTGCATCCATTGTTCTTGAGGATTCTACTGAATGTGGGTTATATTGAGGACTATATCGTTGCATTGAATCCAATTCTTCCAGATCCATTGTATATAGTATGTGCCTAAGCTCTAGCAGACCCGCCACAGCCTTGGGACTTGAGAAGTATTCTCTTTGATATTGTTCTGTCCACGCTTTTACGGGAGGATGAGACATCTGTTCTATAAACCAAAAACTATTAGTTTGTATATTCCTCATTGATGATTGTTTGTCAATATCGATAATAAGGGTAGTCCTTCGAATTTGAATGACTGCCATGAACTGATCGCCCGCACCACATCGAGGACATATGTTTTCAAAAGAAGATGAGCTTGTCACAACATGAGGTGTATGGCATTGGTAGCACCAATTATAATGATCATGACTGTCAATAGTTGTATTTGTGAACCTGTCTGTTCTATGGCGTAAACATTCTGAACATTGTATGATCTCAAGAGGATACGATGAAACGATGTTGTCTTGGTTTAATGTGCCTACTTTACGACATTCGTAGCACCAATACCACTGATTGCATTGTGTGACATGTTCGATGGCAGATTGAAGTTCCTCTGACCTGCCCTTCCACTCGTTTGTTTGAAGTTGAAAACCTCTTCTTGGCCATCGTAAACGGATCACAACTCCAGGTCGACGAAGCATTAAAAATGGCTCCGTTTCTTCATCATTTCTTGATTGCCATCGAAAAGGTAACGGTGGTTCTTGGTGGTCGTTAATATCCTTAAGGTAGAATGTGATGCTTTTAATCTCATAAAGGAGCTCTAAGAAACACTGGGGACATAAAATGGCTTCATGAGCAGAAGAGAATCCCCAATGGCAATGGCAGCACAAATAATGATAATTTTGTGTGCCATCCATATTTTCTCGATTTTTTCTTGTTGGTTTGAATTTGGATCATGCCCCTCAAATACTGTAAACACATATGTGATATGTATACCAATAGAAAAGAACAACTCATGTGTAAATATATACTTCATATAAAAAGTATAGGAGTAATATCTTATGAGTAACTGATTAGGAAATAGGAAGTAAAGTATATTTCTTTTTTCAATTTATTGCTTTAAGCTTTGTGCATTTACCTTCTCCCTCCTTTACACATATACTTTGTTTCGTTTCGTTGGAATATAATCGCAGAAGTCATATACGTAAGAGAAATGAAAATATACAAAAAGATACCCATGCCTTTAATGTTATGAAAAGGATAGAAAGAGTTACAAGCCGATTTTCGATTTCACGTTTAATTTCATTTATTGGTTTGATATTACAATTAAATTTTATTTTGGAATTTATTTAATACATTCATTTAGTTAGACCACTGACAAATTTTCTTTAGTTTTTATATAATTTATCTAAATTATTATGTAGGTGTTTCAGTGCCTTCATCAGGAGGTAACTAGTTTGTGATAAAGTATAGCCCGTAAATTTGTGAAAAAGAATGACCTTTGTACTTACGTACCTAGACTGAATGATGGATTATATTACATTGAGATTTAATCTACCTAATCTAGGTGAACCTTAATACTTTGTTTCTAGCTGACTTGAAGAGTTATTCTAAAGTTGAAGTATTAAGAAAAAAGTATGAGAACAATATTGAATATTGTTCACAAGTATTGGACCAAACTCTTCTTTGTGCTTAAAGGAGTGAGGAGTTTATAGTTTTATACAGTATTAGAAAACCATCAATTCAGAGCGCCTCTACCCCTTCCCTTTTTATGTTAAGTAGTAGCTCTTGAAAGTGATATGTAAATCAAGTAGTTATGTGAAAATTAAGAGATCCTTTAGGTTTTATGCCTAACGATTCACTAAATGGGCGATGTGGCAGCTACTCATTGGTCCGTGCACACCAACGGTATCAAATTAAAGCCTAATTAAAATGATTTTCAAGTGCTCTTTAATTTTGGTTTGTTCATTCTTATCTTCTTAAGAAGATAATAAAATTAGCAAGATTTAAAATGATTTGGTTGTGACGTGGCGTTACAAGAGAATTATGTGGCGATGATCCTCAAAAACTAGAATCAACCTACTAAAATGACAATTTGAGTCTAACAAATAAGTTCATACTTAATTGGATGTTTTTAGTATGAGAGTTGTTAGCAATCATTTTAGTGTACATTTGCATTTGTTATCTTTATATTTGTGTATTAAGTTGGTTAGTTGTTTAACCGGATCAACTTTGTTTTTGGATCCGGAAGGTCAATGTAATATGAAAGCCCGAGATATTTTTCAAACTTTAGAGCTTGAGAAATCTCTATTGAATATATTTTTTTGGGTCTCAAAATGACGCAATTATAAATCAAAGCAAGAACAATGTCACGGAGACAAATTGCAAGTCAAAACTTTTGAGTTTTGAGAAATGGCTACAAAGTGAATATATTTCTTATCTTTTGTAAACTTTCTCATATTCGATACACTATCATAATGCTCTCATGATCTCATCTACTCCGTGTTTTGTGCATTTATTGTATGATTGGCGTAATTATCAAACTCATAAGAGTTTAATTGCTGTTTTTGGGCATAAATTATTTCAGAGTTTCCCCAAATAAAATTTATCAAGAAATAATATTTCAAAAATAGACCGACACAAATTGGTCAAAGCTGTTAAAGATTACAATGTACGTGAAATTGGTCAAAGTAAAAACAAATGTTCTATTTGTCTCATTAAATTTGACCAATTTTGTTGACAAGTAGAATAATATACGGAACACAGAAATAGACATTTATAGTTAAAGTTTATCTAGTGGAAAGTGAACTAAGAGAAACCGACAAAGTTTAATTGTACGGGAAATAATTCATGATAAATTAAAGCTCCAAATTAATGGATTTGAATTTAAGGAATGCATGTGTGAAACTTATTTAATTCGGATAGAGAGCCCGTGCTTAAACTTCTGCATATAATTCCAGGTATTCTTACTTTCTTAGATGTAAATTATCGGTTGAATTGAGATGATAAACCATCAATGATAAATTTAGAGTCCGTTTGGTGACTTTGTTTTTCGGCTTATCAAGTTTTTCAGCGAATTTTTTCACCAAACACGAAATTATTAATTTCGCGCGCTGAATTGTGAAATACTCCGTAATAAGAAAAAATAAGGTTGAAGTTAGTATTGGTTGAAGTTACCGTAGAGTGTCATTTTAGCTATTTTTCATATATCGTTTTCTTTGTTTTATTAATAAAAAATATTTTAATTTATTTTTCATAAATCAACAGAATCAGCCAATACAGCCACTTTAGACAAGGACTTCATAAACTTCAGCACTATCAGCCGATTCAACCAATTTTGTGTTACCAAACGGTCTTAGATTATTACGTAGTTTCAATTAGCAGTTTCCATCAGCAATATGTGACTATGAATATTTTTACTTGGACTGAAATTTTCTGATATGATATTTTGTAATCTAAATTGGTCTGGTCTGGTTTGGAATTGAAAACAGTTCAAATAAGAACATCCTATGACTAAAATAAAGATGCTGTAATTACATATTCATTTGTTAAAGGGAAAACTATCAAATAAGCATCTGTACTATGCCGAAAAAGTCAATTAGGCCCCCATACTTTACAAACATTCAATTAAGTCCTCAAACTATTAAAAAACGTCCAATTAAGCCCGATAAGTAAGTAACCCCTTTCCCAGTTCAATTTTCCTGTTTCATTCATTTCTTGTCCGGATAAATCATAATCATTTTCTTATTATTTTACGCTCAACTTAAAGTTGATAATGTGGAACAGGACTATTTGGTTATTGGTTTATTACTAATGAAAACCTTTATTCTGCCAAAAAAAAATATGAAAACCTTTATCCTTTATTTATTTGATTGATGTGAGAGTATTTGTGAGAATCTACTTAGTACTTGATTGTACATCAATTTGTTAAATAAAATAAAAACAGGCCCATATGAGCTGATTGTGTTGAATTATGACAGCTAGGGTTATGGGAGACCAAGAAGAGATGAGGGTGGGTGCGAGGAAGGAGAGGGGAGGGGTGTGGGACCCATGTTTCCTTCGCCCATGCGCACGCTGTCTTCAAAAACCAAAAGAAAAATCAAGAAATACAATAAAAAGGAAATAAATTAAAGGAAAAATTAAAAAAATAGTCTTGTAACATTAAAATTATTTGAATTGGCTAATTCTATTGAAATTATGAAGTTTTGGCTGAAATAGTTCGATTGCTAGCTCTGTTGATTTTTGAAAAAAGAAACATTTAAAATATTTTTTATTAATAAAATAAAGAAAAAAATACTACGCATTAGGTATGTGAAAATAGCTATAATAATCTTTTACACGAATTTCACTTAAAAAAGGTAACTTCAACCTTAATTTTCTAATTATTGAATAATTCGACACGCATGATCAAAATTTTCGTGTTCGAGAAGAAAATCGACCGATAAACCAAAAATCATAAGCTCTCAACCCTTGAAACCATTATTTCCATTCTCATCCATCCAGCAGCCATATCATAGATCCAATCCTCTCCATCTCCTCCATCTATCTCTCTCTCTAGGCTAGGGTATAATCCATTACTCACTTAGCCTAACCCTAACCCTTACCAACATCTCAGCTCTTAGCCACCACTGTTCACTCCTTTTGACTGACAATTCTTTCTTTCTGGTTAAGGTTAGATCAGAAGAAGCCTTTTGATTTTTCCATCCACCAGACTTGATGAGAAAGATAACCCAACCAAGATGCTGCTGCTTGCTGTTAGAAAAGAGGATTCTTGAATTTCCGGCCATCGAGCTAGCGTAGCTGCTAGCTAAAGTTTAATTTGTTTATAGAATTCTAGATCATATCGCCGGCGAAATGGATCCGCTCACAACTCATCACGGCCGCCGCCCTTTGACGCCGCCTTTCTATAATAGTAGGGACGTCCAGCAGCAGCAGTTCCACCACCAACTGCTGTCGGAATCAGACGACGGCGGCGACCGTCACACCGCCCAGAAGTCAGATCGCGATGATGACATCACTGCAACGTCTACGACTAACAATAGCACTACTTCTAATGATTTTGAGGGGAGGCAAGCTTTGGTCCTCTCCTCCGGCGCCGGAGATCATCAGGCGGCGGGGAGGAAGCCGAGAGGAAGGCCGGCGGGGTCGAAGAACAAGCCGAAGCCGCCAATCATCATCACGCGCGACAGCGCCAACGCGCTCCGGTCGCACGTGATGGAGATTACCAAGGGCTGCGACATCCAAGAAAGCATCTCCAACTTCGCCACGCGGCGGCAGAGAGGTGTCAGCGTGTTAAGCGGCAGCGGGAGCGTCTCGAACGTAACTCTCCGGCAACCGGCGGCCTCTCCGGGAGGCCCCGTCGTCACTTTGCGCGGGAGATTCGAGATTCTTTCCCTCTCGGGCTCATACTTGCCCCCGCCCGCTCCGCCCGCTGCGTCGGGGCTAACAATTTACCTCGCCGGAGGTCAAGGGCAAGTTGTCGGCGGGAGCGTCGTGGGGCCCTTAATGGCCTCCGGCCAGGTGACGATCATCGCCGCATCTTTCGGGAATGCGGCATACGAGAGGCTCCCGATAGAAGACGATGAGTCCCCAGCGCTTCACGGGGGCGAAGAATTGGGGGGCGGGGGCGGCGGAATGGGTAGTTTCCGGCAACATCCGCCGCAGATAATGGTGTCTTCGGATGAAACAATGCTTCAAGGTTTGCCTCCCAACCTTATAGGTTCATATCCGGCTGAGGCTTATTGGGGCCGCGGAAATACTCGGCCTCCTTATTGACAAATTTTGGTAATTCCAAATACATAATAATAATGTTGATTATTTCTACATATATGGACATAATAATTGGAGTAACTTCTTAGCTCCTCTTTTAATTTTTGTATTATTCCCATATCTATCTTGTTCAGTTTAATTTGAATATGGTCGTCATTTCAGCTCAATCTCTTTCTCCTATAACTTTGGTAAATTTTTAGAGTGGCGTTTATGTGTA